GCTGTCCTCCCGGCCGCACTCCGCCTTGCTTCGGGGAGCCGGCGTTCTTTGTGGGAAGATCTAGGGGGCGCGCCCCTGCCCTGCGGCTGGGGGCTTCAGAGAGGCCCTTCCCACCAGCCTGCCTCGCTTCTCCGGCGCCGCCCGAAGCCCCCTTCCGAGACCCTCGGGCAGGGAGGACAGCGGTGCGTGCCCGGGATCCGGCTGAGAGGGGTCGTGCCCCCTGGGGCCAAAGGGCTCTACGGGGACAAGTGTGTGGGGCCAAGCGGCCTCGACCCTCAGCGGAAATCCATGAGGACCAGGTAAGCTGCATCCTCCCAGTCGGGGCTCCGGGCGCTGTCTTGAGCCTGGGCGGAAGATGCGCCCACAAGTCGCCGGGCCCACCTTGGCGCGGCGGGGTGGGCATCTCTGCCCCTCAGATCTGCGAGAGGGAGATTTGGTTAGCTTTGGGGGGACTTGGCCCGCCTTCTGGCCCAGAGCTTAACCCCCTTGCAACCTTTTGACAAAGGCATGCGGGATGTGAATGTCTGTTTTTTAACTGGGATGTCCTGGGGGTGCTTTGGAGGGGTCTGTTCCCCAGTAACCACACAGCGGTGCGTTGGCATCACTTTATCTCACATCTTTGGGGCTATTTTTGTTCGTTTTTGTACTTTTCATGCGTTTTGCCAAGTGCTTTCAAGAGCAAGTCATTTGATTCTCCTCCCTGGGAGGGTGGTGTGGTTTTGGAGGGAAGGATTTTAGTTCGTTGATGTGTCGGACGGGGATAATGATAACACCAGGAGGGCCTATCTCGTGTCGGGGGGTGGGGGGAGGAATCACTGTGCCCCCTCCTCATCCAGCCAGGGAGGATTCAGCTCAGCCTCTTCTCCTGTGACCTGGACCTGGAAATGAGCTTGACAGAGCTACTGCGTCGAGAAATACCAGGTGGCTTTCCCTTATAACCCCTCTTACTGCGGCCACTGAGACAGGTGAGGAAAGGCGTTTTCCAGGCCCGCAGAGCAGACAGAGGACAGAGGAGGGGCCTCAGATCCTACAGACAGGGGCTCTTCATCCAACTCTCTTTAAGGGATTCAGCCACCCATTTTGGTCACTTCTTCCACAGCGCCCCTCTTGTCCTGTCCTAGTCTAACCTCATGTTACACTTTTAAGATGCTTCCAAGCACTTTGATATACACTTTTCAATTTCATTCACATCACAGCCCTGTGAAGTCTTATTAACCCGTTTTACAGGTGAGGAACATGAGACTCAAGAGAGGTGAAGTACTCCGCTCAGCAAGTAAGGAGTCAAGATTGAACTCAGGTGTTCTGACTCCGCAGTGCTTTTCACGGGGGCTCCATCACATAGATGGGCCCCTGAACTCTGTCAGGACTTTTCCCTGCCCTGCAGCTCCACTGCCATGACAGGAAGAGGGACTCCTCACCAGGAGGCCGGCCTGACATTTAGAAACTAAATTCAAGCCTCAGGTAGTCAAATCATTCTCTTTGTATTGCAGCCCTGTGCAGTGGGAGTATGAGAAAGGAGGCCAGCCGTGTGATCAGAAGGGCGGAGTTCTTTGTCTGAGTTCCACGGAAGGCAGAATGGGCTGAGCTGGGACTGACCTAAATGTCGACCAAAGGAGGTACAGTTCTATGATGTAAACTCTGCTGCTAGGGTCAGTCAGGAAGCCTGCGTGGTGGAGGAGGACTGGCCAGAGGGCTGAATGGGGGGCGCTGTGTGTAGAGCATGCCTTCCCTTGAAGAACCAGCAGCAACTGTGACAAAGTTCCAGTACATTGCCTGGTCTGAATTTTGGGGAAAGCTGCAAATTTTTATGGAAGAAAGCTCCATGTTTTTAAAGTTGGCAACTAATTTAAAACATTTTTCAAAATGTGCAGGGCAACCAAATTATGTGTGCAGGCTGGTTGTGGCCTGCAGACTGCCAGCTTGCAACCTTAGGAAGTATTTGCTGTCATTTTGAGATGTAATAAAGCATGACTGGAGCAGAGAAGGAGTGTCTTCTCGTGGTTTTTCCGTGAGAACAAAAAACATCAGCAAAGTTGTGGATAGCTATCAGTGCTACCTGGACTTTGGAGGAAGGATTGACCTAATGACTCAATACTTCATTCAGGCAGTGCTAAACTCATCTCTGATTCTAGTTCTGCACCAAAAGAGTGCTTACCACTAGCTTTTATCTGTTTCTTTGGCCAGTTTATGTGCCCAGCAGGGCAGAGGATGGCATTCATGGTAGATATGTTCAGGGAACACTGGGAGCATAAAGGAGAGAGTTTTCAGTGTGGCCTGTGGTAAAGCATGGAGGTACATTTGACTGGGGCTTGTATTTGATTTGTACTCAAGAGGAGTGAGATCACACTGTGTTAAGAGCACTGGTTAATGTCAGAGAGCCTGCACCCAGCCCTGCCACTTACAAACCTGTGACCTTGGATCAAAAATAGAAACTGTGCCTGGAATGTAATAATTCTTCAAAAATGTGAGTCAATTATAAAATATTTTTTAAATATAGAAATGTATAGGAAAATAAAGTTCCTCCTACCTCACCTCCACTCCCTCTCTGAGAGGTAACCATGGTACATATATTGTTTTCCAAGCCTTTTTCAATGCAGAAATATATGTTCACTGAGTCTGGAAGTATAGGGGAATATGAATATATATACAGAGCTTATTGACATTATATTATAAAACAGTATTGTTTGCATTTCCAATTTTAGGGCCAACCTTAATATATTGGATGTACCTTTAAAAATACATAAATGAGGACCATATGTAATTATATGCTCGGTGACTGATTTTTTTTAACAGTGAGACTCGGATGTCTTCCAATATCAATAACATAGATACACTTCATTCTTTTTAATGACTACATAGTATTTCATAGTATAGATTAGCCATAACTCATTTAAACATTCTCTTGCTGCTGGAGTTCTAGATTGTTTTCAGTTTTGTCTATTATAAACAATGCTATAGTGAACATCTTTGTATGTAAGTCTCTGTGTACTAGTAGAATATTTCTGGAGGAAAGTTATTCTTATAAGTGGAGTTGGTGGGGGTCAAAGACAACGTATATTAAATATTTAAGCAGAATTCCTTTTGTTTTTTGGGATCTGGAGATTGTGCAGAAAAAGAGATTGAATTTATTTATTTACTTAAGTTTACTTGTTTGGGAACAGGTAGTATCTGGGGTACTATATTTGGAGATAGGCAGTATTCATAAAGCAAAACATTCAAAGGCTGTAAAAGGTTACACCTCCCTCCTCCCCTAGTCCTCTTTTTCCCTTTTTGGGTACAACTAATTTTGCCAGTTTTTATGCATTCTTCTGGAGATACTCTGTGCATCTATAGGCAAATAAAATGTGTCTTCTGTTTTCTCCCTGTTAAAAATAAATATGGTATCATACTAAATACCCCATTCTCAAATTTTAAAAATTTGACCTGTATCTTGGAGACCATTCCATATAAAAGTTCTGTGCATTTTAAAAGCTGGTGATCTTCCAAGTCTACCCTTAAAAAAACAATAAAAAAGCTTAATCAGTTTACACTCCCTCAAATCAAATCCTTTAACGATTTTTCCATTGAATTGTTTGTAATTTCATCAATTTGTGAGACTCTTCCTACATTCTGGAATTTAAACCTTTTCTTGTTAATAAATCAAATATCTTGCCTTTTATGTCTTCCCCAGCTTTGCTTATTGAACCTTTGTGCAGGAGTGTTTAATGTTTATATAGTTAGATCTATAAAACTTTTCTCTATGGCTTCAAGTTTTCTGTCTTATTTAGGAAGTCCTCTCCTATCTCAAGATTAAATTTTCCTAAAATTTTTCTTTCCTCTCCATTCTTTCTTTGCTTTTATTCATCTAAAATATTTTAATTAAAAAAAGAATTTGGGGGGGAGTAGATAATTAGGTTTGCTTATTTATTAATTTTTTAAAGGAGGTACTGGGGATTGAACCCAGGGCCTCATGCATGCTAAGCATGCAGTCTACCACTTGAGCTATACCCTCCCCCTGATCTAAAATATTTTAAATTGCTATATCTTTTCTTCAGTTTCCCTCCTCTCTAACACCAGAGAGACAAGGTTTGAATTTGCCTGTGAGCTTCTTTAGCCAATGTAGTATGTCTCTTCTTTTTCACTTTTATAGTGACTTTTTTCGCCAAGTCGTAAGGATGTGCTCTTCTACCTGGAGAAGAGAGAGAAAGGGCATTCTGGACAATGGAAGCATTGTCACATGCAAAATCATGGAATTGGAGAACAGCAATACATACTTGGAGAACCATGGTTTATTCAGGATAGCTGAAGTGGAGGATCCTGCAAGGGAATAGATTCCCAAGGTGCCCAAAACTGACATAGCATGACCAGGTTTGTGTGGGGGACAGCATTGGGGAGGACAGATTTGAGTGAGGGTGAGATCAAAGGCAAGAAGGTGTGATAGAAATGTCTGGTGATCATCCAGGGGAAAGATGGAGAGGCTCTGAGCTGGGGTAATGGCAGTGAGGATGAAGTTTTGAATTAGAATTTAGTGGTGCAAGGAATACATACACACACATACGTGCACACACACTGACACACATGTGTATGTATATAACTGAATCACTATGCTGTACATCAGAAATTGACACAACATTGTAAACTGACTACACTTCAATTAAAAGTTTAGTGGTGCACTAGATGCCTGTGATAGGAATCAAACCAACCAACATACATTTCTTTACATATATAATCTCATTGGATCCAGGCAATTCAATATGGAAATACAAAGCTCAAATGTGCTCATTAATCTACCCAAGGTCACACAGTCAGAAAGTGTCATTCAGGGCCTTAGCCCCAGCAGGATTATCTGGCAAGAGTGGTCTAGGATGTCCTGGGTTTCTGTCTTGAGTGATTTGGGTGGGTGGGTGGTGTTTTTTTTCTAGAATAGAAAAAAGCATGAAGATAGCATATTGCGATGGTAGAAGTAGAGATGATGAATTCTGTCTTGCACATGTTATAGCTGAGGTGCCTGGGTGTGACATATGGAAGAAAATGTCTACTAGGTGGGTGGATATGAATCTGGAGCCCCCAAGAGTTGTCTTGGCTCTAGATGGAGGTTTGGGAGTCATCATTGTTCAGGTGAGTATAGGGCAGGAGCATATAGAGAGAGACGACGTATCAGATAGGGCTCTTTCCTTTGCAGAGTGGTAGAAAATGCAGTTCAGATTGGCGTAAGCAAAGGAAAGTTACTGGCTCATGTCATTAAAAAGCTCAAGAGTGTATTTGGTTTCATATGGGTTCAGGGTTCAAATGATTCATCAGGATTCATTTTCTTACTTCCCCTTATCTCGTGCGCTCCCCTCTTGATGGCTAGGGGAAGCTGCAGGTTCAGATCCAATGGAGAGGGGAGCTGTCTTTCTCCCCGCTATCCCAGCAACAGTCCCGTTACGTCTCATAAAGTGATCGGGTCAGAGGGTGTTGGCATATGCCAATGACGAGACATCAATGGTGCATCATCCGTGAAGACACATGGACTTGGAGGATAAAAAGGATGACTCTTCAGAGGAAATTCAGGGGCAACTACAGAACAAGGGGAAGAGATGTAAGGAAGGGAAACCATCCATTTCCTCTGTAGATGAGAACGGAAGAAGTAATGCTCCAGATGGCGTCTTGGGAAAAAGTAACACTCATAGGGCAGGATGATTACAGGTAGAGAGAAGATATAAGGGACAGGCTGGGAATGAAGAGAGGGAGAGGCAGGAGAGAGCTGGATCAGGGGAGCCAAGGGAAGAGGGAGTCTCCGGGGATAAAAAGAAAGAAAGTTGTCAAAGGTCAGATGTGGGAGCAACCCCAAGGAAGGGCCCATTGGATTTGGCTACGAGATCAATGCTGACCTTGCCCTCAGCAAAGGTGGTCATTTATTTTAGACTTGGCTGGGACTACCGTCTAGAGGGTTCATATTCCTACCTGCTTCTGCGTTCCCCACCCAGGCCTGGGGATGGCCAGGTAAGGGCAGAGGTGTAGTGATGGCAATCAAGAAACTTGGGTCTGTTAATAAATTAGGTATATGACTATGTGTAACTCACTTCACTTCTTTGGGCCCCATTTTCTTTTTGGGGGGAGGGGGGCCTCAATTCCATCATCTCTAGAATAACACAATTAGAATGAGTTACTTCTGAGGCCTATTTTTGCTCTTAACATGTTGGAGATGAATGAATCTGATCACTTCTCACCACCTCTGTTACCAAAGCCCTGGTCCAAGCCATCGTCCCTCACCTGGGCTAGAGCAGCAGCCTCCTGGCTGGTATCCCTGCCTCCCAGCTTGGTCCCAGTGGTCTGTTCACCCAGCAGGAGAGTAACCCTTCTAAGATAGGAGTCAGATGCATCACTGCAAGGCCTTCGATTCCACCTGGAATCTAATCCACACTCCTGACCATCTCCATAGCCTGCCCTTCTCCTCTTCCCTTACTCTTTTCCAGCTTCCTTGCTAGTCCCTAAACCGGCCAAGCTCATTCTGTCTCAGGGCCTTTGCAGGGGCTCTTCCCTCGACCTGAAATTCCCTTGCATCATTTTTTGGTTTCTGCTCGAATGTCAGCTCCTTGGAGAGACTCTGCTGACTACTCACTCCCACCTGCCCATCCATTCCTTCTCCCTTTAC